GGGTCTCTGTTGCCGAGGCAGGAGTGCAGTGGGGCAATCATAGCTCACTGTAACTTCAAACTTCTGGGCTCAAGTGATCCTCCCACCTCAGCCTCCTGAGTAGCTAAGGCTACAGTTGCATGCCATCATGCCCAACTCATCTTTTTGAATTTTCTGTAGAGACAGGGTCTTGCTATGTTGCTCAGACTGGTCTCAAACTCCTGGCCTCAAGTAATCCTTCCATCTCAGCCTCCCAAAGTGCTAGGATTACAGGTGTGAACCATTGTACCCAGCCTCTGCCAGTGCCTTGATCTTCAACTTCCCGGCCTCTAGAACCATGAGAAATAAATTTCTATTGTTTAAAAGCTACCCAGTTTATGGTATCTTGTTACAACAGCCCAAATGGACTAAGACAGTATCTTTAAGAACCATACTGGAAAAAAGAAATCATTCATAATAGAAATGTTAACAATGAGGGAGAACTTAAAAATTAAATACCCTTTTAACAAATTATTCCATTACAAAGGGAGTTGGGGGCTGGGCCTGGTGGCTCACACCTGTAATCCCAGCCCTTTGGGAGGCCAAGGTGGGTGGATCATTTAAGGCCAGGAGTTTAAGACCAGCCTGGCCAACGTGGTGAAACCCTGTTTCTACTAAAAATACAAAAACCATCTGGGCGTGGTGTCACATGCCTGTATATCCCAGTTACTCGGGAGGCTGAGGCACAAGAATTGCTTGAACCCAGGAGGCAAAGGTTGCGGTGAGCCAAGATTGTGTCATGGCACTCTAACCTGAGTGACAGAGTGAGACTCCGTCTCAAAAAAAAAAAACCAAAACAAACAAACAAACAAAAAAAACCAAAGGGAGTTGGAAATAGTAAAAATCACAATGTATTTTATTATACACATTGATGGCGCAGAATGCTCCACTACAATGCCATGTCAGCTTACGGGAAAATCAAACCATCAAACCTAGCACTGAATCTTTCTTTGTACTCCAAGGCTCCCCATTCAAGCTAGTGTCACAGTTAAGTTGTCATGTTTTGAAATGCACGGTTGGGTTGGATGATTCTGGTATTGAACTGGAAATACTGTTAGCATATCTAAACAGAGCCTCTAGAAAAAATGAACTCACACACTAAGATCTCCTTGTACTCCATTCATGGCCCTTTTAAAATAAAGATAGTTGGCTGGGCATGGTGGCTCACTCCTATAATCCTAGCACTTTGAGAGGTCGAGTCGGGAGGAAGGCTTGAGCTCAAGAGTTCGGGACCAGACTTGGCAACATGGTGAAACCCCATGTCTACAAAAATTACAAAAATTAGCTTGGCATGGTATCATGTGCCTATAGTCCCAGCTACTCAGAAGGCTGAGGTGGGAGGATCACTCGAGCCTAGGAGATCAAGGCTACACAGTGAGCCGCGACTGTACCACTGCACTCCAGCCTGGGTGAAACAGTGAGACTCTGTCATGAAAAAAAAAAATTTAGATTTAGAGTCTTTAAAATTAGAGATTCATCAAGAGCCTGTTCAGCCCTGGGTAGGAGCATTGAACAAACAGAAGGGTACATTCAGAGTATGTGGAGAATGAGTGTGTTTACCCAAATCTAATCTCAATTTTCAAAATACTACTGCTATTTTGCACCTTTGGGGAACTGGCTATTTTGCCCCTATAGAATGAGTCTTTTCTACCTACAAAGTGGTTGTCAGTATATATTTTAAAGGTTCTTGGTTTAATTTTGTTACTATTTATTTTATGTTTCATTCAAGTACATCACTGATTTAAATAACCTATTCTTAATATGAAATTATCTAAGTGAGATCCTGTTACTGTTTTTGTAATCCTAAACCACTGACCTCCTCTGCCTGAACCTGACTGACACAGAATTTACTTATCCCAGTTCCTGGACCTGCTGGTTCACTCAATACAGGGTGGCCATCATTGTTATTACTATTGCTATTGACAGAGCTGTAATAATACTTTCACTTTGCAATTAAAAATAAACTGGGCCACAGACATGTTTGTTGCTCTGTGAAAAACGCCAATTCAAATTAAACTCTTGCAAGAAAAAAATAAATTCAGTGTTAATCAGCAGTCCTTTTACTATAGTTTTCCCAGCCATTGCTTGGTTGCCTTCAGCTACTCCTCTAGTAGTTTCTTGAAGAAAGGTTGTTAGTTGAGTATAATATTCTTGAACTATATCTTCTTTCCTAGAAACCTTAATCCACTGTCTTCTGGAGTTGGATGTCAATATTAAGAAGTCTGAAGTCTTCCGGGTGCGCTGGCTCACATCTGTAATCCTAGCACTTTGGGAGGCTGAGGTGGGCAGATCACCTGAGGTCAGGTGTTTGAGACCAGCCTGGCCAACATGGTGAAACCCCATCTCTACTAAAAATACAAAAAAATTAGCCATGCATGGTGGTGCATGCCCAGAGTCCCAGCTATTGGGGAGGCTGAGGCAGGAGAATTACTCGAACCCAGGAGGCAGAGGTTGCAGCGAGCCAAGATAGCACCTCTGCACTCCAGTCTGGATGACAAAGCAAGACTCTGTCTCAAAAAAAAAAAAAAAAGAAAAAGAAAAAAAAATGGTCTGAGGTCAACCTCATTACTGCTAGACTTCAAAGTAGCTCAATCTTTTAACTGCCCAAAAGACTCTTTCATCTTTGACTTCTAGGAACCTCACTAGAATGTCTTAGTATTAATTCTCCTACATCTTTTTTTTTTTTTTTGCCCAAAAGACTCTTTCATCTTTGACTTCCAAGAACCTCACTAGAATGTCTTAGTATTAATTCTCCTACATCTTTAGTCTCACTGTCACCCAAGCTGGAGTGCGGTGATACGGACATGGCTCACTGCAGCCTTGACCTCCTGGGCTCAAGCAATCCTCTTGCCTCAGCTTCCTGTGTAGCCAGGACCACAGGCACGCGTCACCATGCCTGGCTAATTTTTTGATTTTTTGTAGAGACGGTATCTCACTTTGTTGCCCAGGCTGGTCTCAAACTCCTGGGCTCAAGCAATCCTTCTGTCTTGGTCTCCCAAAATGCTGAGATTATAGGTGTGTGCCAGGGTGCCTGGCTCCTGTATCATTTTTTACTGGGACACATGTCTTCTCAATCTGAAAATTCACATCTTTTCACTTTGGAAAAATCTTTCTTGAATAATTATCTTTAAATATTTTTTCTGTGTTATTATATTATAGGCTTTCTTCTTTGGGAACTCCAATTATGTATAAGTTAAATCTCCTTTATCTTTCACTACTGTCATTTTCTCTCTAATCCTTTCTAACCTTTTACTTCTCATTTTGTTTGTTTTGTTTGGATTTCCGGGCCTGTCTCTTACCTTGTTTTCAACAGTATCTATTCCTACTTGTGCTGCATACAATTTTGTCTTTATTTTTTGTAATATTTTTATGTTTTATTCCACTTCTTTTCTGAGCTCTGCAGCTTACATTGCATCTTCTGATGTTTTGCCACATGCCTGAACTTACTTTATAGGCAGTTATTTTTGTGCTCTTTCTTTCATAAAGACAATTTCTTGACCGGGCGCAGTGGCTCACGCCTGTAATCCTAGCACTTTGGGAGGCCAAGGCAGGCAGACTGCCTGAGGTCAGGAGTTCGAGACCAGCCTGGGCAACATGGTGAAACCCCCCCATCTCTACTACAATCAAAAAAAAAAAAATAGACAGGCATGGCAGCGTGCGCCTGTAATCCCAGCTACTCCGGAGGCTGAAGCAAGAGAATTACTTGAACCCAGGAGGCGGAGGTTGCAGTGAGTCAAGATGGTGCCACTGCACTCCAGCCTGGTGACAGAGTGAGACTCCGTCATAAAAAAAAAAAAAATTAAATTAAATTAAAATAAAGACAATTTCTTTATTCATGAGAAAGTCATCATAATTTCTATAAGCTCCATGGCAATTATTTTTATCTTTGAAGTTAAACATTCTTTATCCGCCTTTTGTTTTTCTGTTCCTTTTTTCTTGTAGTATTTTAGTACAGATTCCATGCTCTTCCTTTTTGACAACCCAGCTTTGAATTAGTTGAGGTTTTTCTCCACCAGTTATTTGTGCAAAGTTTATATAAGGGAAGGACTGGGTATTTCAAGTAACAGGAATTTTCTTTTTGACACAGGGTTATGTAGGCATCCTTTTAATCTTTCTCTCCCAAGCCAAAAGAGATACGCAGCTCTACAAGTATCTTATCTACCCTCTCTACCACTTGACCAGATTGCTTAACGGAAATATGGCTTGATCCTTGATCAGTCCTTCCTCCACTGCCTCATATGATCAAAATTGGTCGAGACTCTCCTATCGTGACCTGTGCTTTCTATTCTTGTTGGAAAAAAAAAAGGGATTTCGGTTTTATGCTCCAGATGGAAAAAAGTACTCAGCTAGTTCTTTCTGAGATCCACATATCCCCCAGATAAGTCTCTCTATACTTTCTCTAGCACCCCTGCACGATCTCCAGTGCTTCTTGCAGGCATTCCTTCTGTGTTGTGGTTCTTGGTGTCAGGTATCTTCAAATCTCCCAGTTTTGTCTACAATGGAGTTTACATTTCTTTTTTCCATTCTCCTTGTTGCTTTGAAGTGGTTTCAGAGACAAGAAGGGGAGAATGTCAAGTATACGCTGCTACATTCAATCTGAAATTTCTCAGTAGGATCAACTTTTATTAAAACCAGAACCACTGTCACCTTATGATTTTCAAAGCCCCATCGTGTATAACTTCTCCCCTATATATGCTGTACACATGCTAGTCATTAACAACTTAAGTCTAAAAAGGTTAAGTGGCTTACCCAAGCTCTCAAAGCTACTTAGAACTCAGGTGTCTTGATTCCTGGTCTGGTGCTCTTATCACACTGCACATCCATGCAATGGCCACTGAACTCAACTGAGCTTCCAAGTATACGTATTACCAGAAGCTAATCTCTAAGAACTATACTTAGAAAAGAGCAGGAAACCACATAACTGACAAACATCAGGAGTGAAGAAGAAAGAAGACCAAGAAACTGGGATTAGTTTCCATTACCTGGCTTAGTATCTGTCACCCCTTCCATGAGGACCAATCCTACTGGTCGCTGACAAGCGATGCCGCAGAAGCGGAAACGTAGCAGGAAGTCTCGACCATACTTGCGTCTCTCTGTAAACCAGGAAAAGCCATATAGTGAAAGAAGATGAAGCAACATGCTGAGACCTCCTTAGTACCAAGCAACTTCCAGCATAGATCCACAGAGGAAGGATTCAGAAGACAAGGAGATTTTCCAATGGCTGTGATTTAAAGTTGTCCATTTTATTGGACGGCCATTGGGAGGACAGTGAGAAAACAGAAGAATATGCTAAGAGAAATGAGGGATTACACTTTTTCTTGTCATTGAGACACCAGCTTTCTCCCAAAATGGACACGAAGACACAGCCAACCAAGAATGTGACGTGTGCTCACCTGATCTCTTGGGGTGACAGGAGGAGACATACTGACAGCAATCAGTGATGCCCAGGGAGCTGGGCCACAGGGGGGCCTGCAGCTTCCTCTGGTAAAGCTGATGAGAGAAGTCTTCCTGTCCAGATACCTGCAAGGAAAGAGCAGGGTGGGAATAAGGAAACCAAGATAGAAAAAGGAAATAACAGCCCATGTTTTGGGACATGTGGACAAATACAAACACACACAATCACACACTACATACATGGTATAAGCAAGCATGTAAGTCTCAGGGGCAGGTTAAAAATAAGGACCAAATTAAAACCATTACTTTTTCACTGGCAACACTGAAATGTCCATGAAACAGGAGGAGGATAAGAGACTGAATCAAGGGGAATCGAATAGTATGAACATGTGGTTCTCTAAATTTTACCTCCAAAAAATCAATACAATTCTCCTCCACAGGGAATATCAACTCTCAGGGGCTTTAAGTTGCAATGGTTAAAGGTTTATCCTCATCTTTGGATCTTCTGGATCAAGGTCTAATATCCTGAACCTATTACTGGGAAACCACAGGGTCAAACCAAATGGGAAAGCACCAAAGCACTTTACCGTATCTACGTCACCATCCTCGGTCAAAGCCAATGAGCAGCCTGGGAACGGACAAAACGTAGTAGGGGAAACATTCGGCAACATCAGTCATCTGCACATCTCCAACGTGTGTAGCAAGTCCCTTTATGCCATTTAACAACAACAAATATTTGAAAGCCAAAAGACACTAGCTAAGTGCTGGGGATAGAGTAGTGATAGACAGAATCTCCCAGCCCTATAAGGGCATAAATTTTCAATATGTCATCTGAAGTAAAACAGATCTGCAATTCAATGGCCACTTAATAGCTGTGTGACTTTGGGCAAGTTAGCTAACTCTCTTGGGTTCAATATCTCCTACTATAAAACGGGATAGGCCAGAAGCAGTGGCTCATGCCTGTAATCCCAGCACTTCAGGAGGCCAAGGTAGGTGGATCACCTGAGTTCAGGAGTTCAAGACCAGCCTGGCCAACATGGTAAAACCCCGTCTCTACTAAAAATACAAAAATTAGCCAAGCATGGTGGCACACTCCTGTAATCCCAGCTACTCAGGAGGCTGAGGCAGGAGAATCACATGAACCCAGGAGGCGGAGGTTGCAGTGAGCCAAGATCATGCCATTGCACTCCAGCCTGGGCAACAGAGCGAGACTCTGTCTCAAAATATAAATAAATAAAAAAATAAAATGGGATAATAATACCATGTACAGTTAAGAATCTTAATATCACTACCAGTTACTGACTTTGAACCAGATACTGGAAAACACTTTACACGCATTATTTTATTTAATTCACCCAAAAAAACACCTCTGAGGCAGGTCCCATTATATCCCCCATTGTATAGACGAGGCAAATTGGGTTTAAGAAAGTTAAGTAATTTGCTCAAGGTGGCAGAGCAGGGATCTGAATTCAGGACTGTCTGGCTTCAAAGCAAGTGCTCTCATTCACTATGCCTAACAGTGCCTGTCATGTGGCAGGCAGTCAGTTCTTTTCCTCGTTCCCTGAGCTCCTTGATTACAGCTCCTTTAGGGCAAGATCATGCCTTTCTCTGCACACATCTGGCTCATTTACATAAAATCCCATGTGCGCAACAGTAATTCAATCGTTTTGTGTCCTTCCACCATCGTGCCTTGCCAAAAGTTAGTCAATAAATTGAAACAGCAGGGGCAAAATAGAGGAACAAGGAGATTAAGTGACATAAAGAAATCAGCACAAGCTGATAAAACTATGAGGTGTCTGTCATCAACACTCAACAGTTAGAAGGAATGAGATCCATATGCAAATTGCTGAGTGGAAAAAAACAAGCTACAAATGAAACATATAGTAGTGTATCATGTTTATAAAACACACATGGCAGATTACATATTGGCTGTTATAAGCAATCACAGCACAGTATTTGAGGGTAAGAGCTCTGCAGCCAGACCACCTGGTTACAAATCCTGGCTCCACCACTAACTACCCACATAACCTATGGCAAATTACTTCACTTTTCTGGGCTTTAGTTTCCTCATTTATAAAATGAAAGCTATGATGGAAATTGTGAAAACTAATGAGTTAATGAGTATAAAGTGCTCAAAATAGCACATGGCACAGAGTTAAGTGCTTAACAAATGTAAACACCGATTACAATATCATAGGAACATAGATACCACTGTAAATGCAAAGAAAACAAGCTAAAAGACTACCACCAAACTTAGAACGGTCATTATGTGACTCTAAGAGAATAGAAAGGGAATGTGGGTAATAAAACAGGCCTGTGCCTTACTGTATAATGCTTAAGTTCCTCCAAGTACATAGTCACGTACTACTTGTGAATTAAAAATATTAATGATAAAAACTGAAAAAAATCCCAACATGCCAAAGTACTCAAGAATTCTTAACTTCCAGGCTTGGGTACAAGCTATTCAACATAACAAGAAAAAGGAGGAACAGGCCAGAGCAGGTGTACTGAGGTCCCTGCCACAGAAGCAGCACTGATGCTCACAGCTTAATCTCTCTCTAGACCATGTTCCCACCCCCACTGTGGCCTCTCCCATTTCACCTTCCAGGCTGGCATCCCATGGTACTGGAGCTCTCCATCCCTGATGAAGTTGTAGAGAGGTGAATCAGGGACAGAATTTAGGTCCCCGCACAAGATGATGGGGCAGTGGCTGCCATCTGACAATCTGGCCACCTTGTCCACTTCTGCCAGGAGAATGGCCATCTGGGCCAGCTTGACATCACCCCGGCGTGGGTTGTAAAGGATATGGGTATTTGCCACACACAGCGGGGCCACCGAGACTTGCCCCAGGCCTTCTGGGACGAGTGGTTGCAGTAGCAACACTAAGCCCACATTATCCCGATTAAGTAGCTCCAAGCCAGGCCGGAAGTACTCCACAGGGCTGGCACAAAGCAGGCGGAATCTGGTGGGCTTGTAGCAAACAGCACAGCCATCGGTTTTACACCCGGTCCTCCTCTTGTAGAAACAGGTAAAGCCTGCAAGGAAAACCCCACCAAGGAGATGGGTCAGAGTCCTTAAAGCCTGAATCCCTTCCAACCAGCACCAGCAGTCCCAGTGTGTGCCCCTGAGGCATTGTTCCTGCTACTCAGTAAAGAAGCCTTTGCCACTTCCTTGGTTCAGCAGGTTCCCCCTTACAGTTGTAACTAGGTGACTGAGGGGCTGGAAGGGCAAGGAGGGAAGGGTATGAAGCAATGTAACATGATAGAAAAGAGCCCAGAATCTAGAGTCAGACAAGCTGGATTCCTAGCTCCACATCTACTAGCTTTGTAGCTTTGTGATTCTGAGGAAGTCACACGAATTTTCAGAAATTCAGTTTTCTCATCTGTAAAATGGGAATAATAACAGTCTCACCACATTGGTTACTTCAAGGATCAAATAGCAATGTATGTCAGAATTGCTTTAAAACTGCAGAATTCTACTTTCTCAGGCACACATGGAAGGAGCTAGCTCACAGGTGCAACTGAGGGTTTACCAAGACAAAAGGGAAGGATGGGGTCTTCAGGAGAGTAGGCAAGGCTGTAGAAAGAAAAGCTGGCAAGCATCCCAGGGAGCTGCATTACCCATCATTCGCAGAGAGGGTTCCAGCTGCTCCCAGTAATGATCTTCCTGGACTTCCTGGAGACACAGGATCTGGGAAATTGACAAGAAACGCAATCACTCTGGAGTGCTGGAATGTGACCCCCACCCTCTAGGAGCAGGTCCTGAGGCCAGGTAGGAAGCTGCTGGGTCACAGTGAAACTTCCCAGTCACCAACAGCAAGAACAGGCCCAGACCTAAGCTGAAGAGATTAGACATGTGCACTGGATTTTCCTGCTCCTTGAATCCCTCAAGCCTCCCTTCCTGCATAAAGGTGCTGGAAAGTGCACACCTAGGGAGATTCTTCTCAGCATCTGCCAACAACTCACTGACACCAGGCAGGCAAACTCTAACCCTAGATAGGACTCCAATCATTTGAACAACTATGGGGTTGAACTCATCTTCTAAGAGCACTGGGAAACAGCCCAGGTCCAGCAACAATGCAAGATGGCAACTCCCCCCTCACTCACATCGGGGTCCCAGTGCTGGAATTCCTGCATGAGGTTCATGAAGCGATAGTTCCAATTGAGGATGTCCGGATGGCAATGTAGATAGAGCTCTGAGCTCTGCTGCATCAGGTCCTGAGCCAGGATGTTATAAGACATCAGAGTGAACTGGAACTGAGGGCCATCTCCTGGCTTCAGGCCCTGAGCATCTGGCTGGGTGGAGAAATCCTCCCATTCTCGCCACAAAATTTCTGAAAAGGGATTGGGAGAAGTATTCCATGGCAAGTACAAGTAATGCAGAGGCACCACCATCTCCTCAGGCACCATTACTCCTGACTCAGTAATATTATGCCTGAAGTTCCTTTTACCATCTGCCCTGTCACCCATCCCTCTCTGTGGGTAATTGAGCAGCACTCTATGGACATTCTTCAGATGACATGGTTAGCTCCACAAAACCAGAGATCTTGGCCTGCTTACCACTACATCACCAGTACCTAGCATCTAATAGATGCTCCATATATGCAAGCTGACAATCTCTCATTTTTGATAAATCCATATATCTCTGGAGAATCACTCAGATGAGTATGCTTAACAGTCACCTGAGGTTAAAGACATTTCTAGAGTTAACTGCAGCCCTAGGGGTTTTCTGATCCCTAAACCTGGAAGAGTCTGTAGGACTAGAAACCACAGTGTGTCCCCATCTCCCCTATGGCATGTGGCAGCATAGTGGATTTCAAATCTATTGATGCCTTTCTTCAAATTTTAATGGACTCTGAATATACAACACAAATAAAACTGAGGTGATTGTGACTGAGACAGAGAATAGAGGCCCTGAGACCTCTCCATCCCTACCCTCAGAAAGCCCTAGGGTTACCACCAGAGAAATGATATTGTGGAGAATCAGAACTAGAGTATGCTTTCAGTTCTTCCCCTACCTGGCTTTATGACTTTAGGCATGTTCTGCTACCTCTTTGCACTGTGATTATTTCACCTTTAAAACCATGGGGCTGGATGAGATGATCTGTAAGGCCCCTCTAGATCTTACACGCCAAGATTCTTAGAAAAATAGAATGCAGTGGCAGAGCTCCCTACCATAGAATCTTCTCTTTAGCAATGGCTCTGCCCACACCTGAGACACCCTGCTCCCTTGGCTCACTCAGTCAGTTGTCAGACTCACCATGATACGGTATTTCCATTGGGGGAGGCTGCAACTGCCCCATGCCCTCAAAGGACCAGATGGGAGCCTCTTCCTGGGGCACAGGCTCAGGTGCTATGCTCCAGGCCAACACCGCCGGGTCCTCTTCCCACTGCTCTGTGGCCAGGGCACCCACTGGGAGGACAGCACAGTCTGCATACTGGGGGTCCGTCTGCATGGGGATAGCTGCCCACATAGGGCCCTCCACCTCCGGCAGTGGTTCCTCTCCTAGCATCTCAGGGAAAGGCTCGTCCAGGTTCTCTGCTGCCCGAAGGTCACTCAGCTGCCTGCTGGACCACTTGTCCTCTGAAGCAGCATTCTCTTCTCCAGGATTATCCATCAGAAGTGCCAGGCTGCTCTGGGCTAGTCCTTTATCTACAAGGGGCCCCTCACTTGCAGTTGAGAGTACCTGGCTCGACCCTTCTTCTCGCCACTGCTGCAGCAGGCCCTCACATTCCTCCTGCTCAGGGCCCCGAGGGGCCATGGCAAAGTCACCTTCTACCTGGGAGGATGAGCTCTTTGCCAGAAGGACATTTTTTCGACATGTAAAGAAAGCATCTAGGAGGAAAGCCAAAATACCAGGTTATAAGACTGTCATCCAATCCACACTCTTCTCCCAGCTAAAACATAAGCCCAATAAAAGCAAGACCCATATCCACCTTGCTCATCGTACCATCACCAAGCCTGCCCACCTTAATGCCTGAACATCATCATCATAATCAGGGCAAAGTATTCACTATGTGCCAGGCACTGTTCTTTACAAGTGGTGACTAATTTATAAGGCAGGGATCTGATAAATATTCAGTGCATGAAAGAACAGCTCTCTCACATAATCTAGAACACAGATGGGCACATATAACCACACTCCTTTTACATGACTTAGTTAAAACTATTAACAAACTCTTTGGTTCTAAGAACCACATTACATTAGAACCAGTACTTGACTGTGAATCAGAACTGTGGGTTATGATCTAGCCGCAAAATTAATAAAACTGACCTTGAACAATGCCCCTAGTCAGATGGAGTTACTCTTGACTGTAAAATGGGAACAAGAGGCCAGGCGTGGTGGCTCCCAGCATTTTGGGAGGCAGAGGCTGAGGCAGAGGCAGCAGGATCGCTTGAGGCCAGGAGTTACAGACCAGCCTGGGCAACATAACGAAACTTCATCTCTACAAAAAATTAAAAATTAGCCAAGTATGGTGGCATATGCACGTGGTCCTAGCTACTTGGGAGGCTGAAATGAGAGGACTGCTTGAGCCCAGGTCGAGGCTGCAGTGAACTATGACTGCCCTTCTGCACTCCAGCCTGGGAGACAAAGTGAGACCTCATTTCAAAAAAAAAAAAAAATTGAAAAAAAATTGGAAAAAAAAATTTAATTTAAAAAAAATAGAGACAAGCAAAGTTTGAACTAGATAATCTCTAAGAGCTTTTCTAGTTGTATAAATTCCCTGATCTATGAATGTACTCCAAAAGAAAAAGTCCTAAAGTAGAGTCTCAAAAATCTATACAATTTACATCTCAGCAAAGGCCCTTAAGCCTCTTCTTAAAGCTACTTATTGTAATAAAATCTTCACAAACTTCATTATCTGCTTTCCCATTCCACAACACATCAGAGGCTATAAATTACAAGGTGCCAACAATTGACAGTAAGAGACAGCTGACATCTCTTTGCTACTGCAGCCACAAATCACAACCAACAGGCAAGAAAGAACATGGGAAAAACTCTAAGAAAACTCTGAGCATAGCATTTTGGTGAGAGCAAACAACTCCCACACTCACACACTCAGCCATTTATTTACAGCACAGGACAAGTGACATGTACAATGCTGGCCCTCAATCACTAGACTCATTTTACTGGCAATTTTTTTTTAAGGCAAGAAAACTTAAAAGTGGCTCAAATATTGAAAGACTGTTCAAATATGTTGTTTGGAGCCTATGTATATTTATGTCCTTCTAAACAATGGTTTTTAACCACGGTGATTTTGCCGTCAGAAGACATTTAGCAATGTTTATAGACACCGTGGTTGTCACAACTGCAGCAGTGCCACTGGCATCTAGTGGTTAGAGGACAGAGACGCTGCTGAACTTCCAACAATTCACAGGACGGACCCACAACACATGATCCGGCCCAAAACATCAACAGTGCTGAGATTGAGAAACCCTGCTCTAAACCTAAGGACTTGCTAATTATCTGCCCCTTGAAACATCCTCTGCGTGTACCAGATGGCAGAGGTTCTTTGATTCATATGCACGAAGTTAGAGGCTTTCGATTTTGGCAGATGTCTTTTGGCAGTGGTGGTGGTGGATTTTCAGCAGCAGAATGCTTCTGTTTTTTAAAAATCATATTTGGAAACCAAATATGCCAAGTAAATATAAGTGGGACTACTGTAATGTGTAGGTGGGGAGGGGCCCTCCTCTGAGATCCCTACGACTCTACTGGTCTGGAAACCTCTGGACTAGCATACTGTATCACTAAGGCTGCCATAGAGGGCATTAGAACAACTCCAGGAGTAACAGCAACAAAGTTAAAAGAATATCCGGCCGGGCGCGGTGGCTCAAGCCTGTAATCCCAGCACTTTGGGAGGCCGAGACGGGCGGATCACGAGGTCAGGAGATCGAGACCATCCTGGCTAACACAATGAAACCCCGTCTCCACTAAAAATACAAAAAAATTAGCCAGGCGTGGTGGCGGCGCCTGTAGTCCCAGCTACTCGGGAGGCTGAGGCAGGAGAATGGCGGGAACCCGGGAGGCGGAGCTTGCAGTGAGCCGAGATCGCGCCACTGCACTCCAGCCTGGGCGACAGAGCGAGACTCCGCCTCAAAAAAAAAAAAAAAAAAAAAAAAAAAAAAAAAGAATATCCTTAGTTCTCTGAAAACAATTACTTCTGTGGAGTTTCCCATTCCTCAGAAGTATGGACACACAAGACATTCCTGAATTCACTGAGTGCCTACTATACACCAAGCAATGTGTTAACACCAGAGATACAGCGAACAAAATGGGCGTGGCCCTGCCCTCCTGAAGTTTGCATTCTAATGGCAGATACACAGTAAAAATAAATTTAAAATATTTCTATATGAAATATATATTATCAATGACACACACATTGAGTATCAATTGCGTAAAGTTCCACAAAGGAAAACCACAAAACACATAGTTGGAGCCCTCATTTCTAAGTACTTCTTGGTCCTGTCCCATAAATTAAAGGCAAAAAGTCTGAGAGTTCCATGGGATCTCAGAAACTGATGGTCGCATAAAACCCTCCGTAATTTCAAAGCCCAGGAATTGAGAATGCAGACAAATTATGAAAAAGTAACGAAATAACCACTCCCTCTGAGGTATCGACTGAGCATTGCCCCCACCCCAGCACATCTCCCTCTAAACCGCCGGGGCTGGGGGCGGGAATGCTCCAAAGCTGAGATCTAAATGTGTCTCTGACTGAGCGACCGTTTTTCAACCAGACACCGGCGAGAGAGGAGCAAGAGCTGCCAGCTGGCAGTGAAAGGTGAGTGTGAAGTTAACCTGGCGAAGACCGGTGCGTCTAGTACTTCGGCCCGAAACCTCCCAGAGCCGACCCGCCTCACCCGCCGAGAATTTGGGCACTCGCCTCGGTCCGAGCTGCTACCCCTTCCCGACCCCCCGGGGTGCTGACTTGGCCGACCCCACGATCTCTCTGCACCCCCAGGGCCAGGAAAGGGCCCTGCCAGTCCACAGCTCCTCTCCACCTTAACCGTGGCCGGACGCCATCTGACAACAGGCGGGAGGCGGGGCCGCCCACGAGGGTCGTCGGCCAGGTCCAGGCCTCGTGGGGTCAGGAGGGGCCCGCGGGACAGGGGCTCAGGAACGCCTCCCTACACGTCGGCACTGCCCGGGGCACCGTAGTCGTGAGGCCCGGACAACTGCAGGCCGCCCCAGGCCCGCGGAGCCCCGCAGAGGCGGGCCCAGGCCGAGCTCCTGTCTATCGGTACGCCTGGCCGGTACCTGAGAGGGCGCGGAAGAGGCGCGTGGCCGGCAGCAGCAGGTAACACAGGCACGAAGCGATCATGGCCGGCCGCCCGCGCCCGCGCCCGCGCCCGCCTCCGCTCCTCACTGCCGCCTGCAGGGCCTCCCTCAGCTCGGCCCCGCCCCCGGCCCGGTCCGGCCCACGTGGTGCTGCCAGCGCTCCTGCCGCCGCGCTTCAACAACAACTTTATTGGGAGCGCAGGTCTATGGGTGCGCACGCAGGAAGTGGGAGGAACCGGTTCCCATGGCAACTAGTCTCGCCTAGCTCCCGGCTGCCACCCAAGCGTGCCGGATTAAAATTGAGTGCCTCACTGGAGGCCTCATAGTGTTATTCAAAGGCCACAGTTTATTCCCACTTCTGCTGCCAACTAGGTGTCCACCTTGTGACCACACTATAACCTCTTCGCCCCTCAGTTTCCTCACCTGTAAAATGAAGAGCTGGACTTGCTCTAAGGCTCCACTTAACCTTGACTTCTAGCCCTTCTCAGCCCAGAAAGGAAGCGAGTTCTTCCCCCATTTTCCCTCTTTTCCTGCCTCTACTTCCCTGTCTCAGATTCTAGGTCACAAATTGAGTCCTACCTTGCTTCAGGAAGTAAGATTTTGTCTCCTTCCCTACTTTCTAAATGGGTCTTCTTTTCCCTAATCCAGGAAAACAGGGTGTCCCATTGGTAAGAGAGTCAAGAAAGAAAGGAGAGAGGACAAAGAGAGGAGAGAGAGACAGAGAGAGAGAGAGAGAAGAGAGAAACGTCCACAAGGCCAGGGACCAGTTCTGGCTGGTTGTTGCTTACCTTGAGGTATCTCTAATACAGTCCAAGCACCTACTGTAACCAAGTACCCAGCTTGAAGGTTATATTCTTGTTATATTCTTTTATTTGTTTCTTTTTGTTCAGTTAACCACTAGGCAACCCCCGCCCCCGACACCCCATCCCCCCCGCCACACACACACTGTTAGCATATCTAATTGTATGTTGGCTTAAAAGTTCCAGAGACTAAATCTTGAAACAGTATAGGCATCTGTGGAAATCTCCCCCACCAGGAGATTGCTTCAAGGCTACAGCTAATTTACAACTCAGCCCAGCCCAAGATGATGCCAGCCTGTTCACCAGATGGGCAGTAACTCAAAGTAAGTCATCAGAACTCGTCATGAAGACCTGCACTGCCTCACCCGTTGCATACCCTCCATACCAAAACTTCTTAAAGCCTTGCATTTTCCTTGGAAATGTGAAGCAGTTCCATTAAAGCAAAAGCCTGGATCGTTTTTCCCCACTGCTAGCTTTGGTTTATGATAAAGTCAGTCTACTTCTACCATACCACGACCTTGCTCATTGGTTTTGCAAGCGGCCAAATCTGCATTCGCTAGCACTACTAGCCACCACATAAGCCTTTGTTGACTGGTTGAACAAAGCATGTGTCACTAAATGAAGGCCAGTTCTGCCATCACTTCTGTGCCACCCAGCAACCTCTTTGAGTCTCTCTTCCCCAGTCTCCCTCCCCCAGTCTTCTGCCCCAAACAGGCTCTGAAGGAGGGACTGGATGATGCACCCAGTTTCAGTACCCAGTGTCTGAGTTGTGCGATTTCCAATTTGTGGCTGGAGACTTGGTTGTTCAGGGAAGCCTTCTGGGGAGTCACCAGATCCTGGACCAGCTGGGTACATCATAACACTGAAAGGCTAAAAGGAGGAAGAAGGAGAGAGTTATTGTGGCCTTCCCACTACTTACCCTTAGTTCTAGAGGTGGCAATGTCTGCCTGCCTTCAGGCAACAGCACTCATCCCTTTGTTTGAGATGAAACAGAGGCCCCAGCAATCTGAAGGTTGGGAAGCTGCTTAGAAATTAGTGCACAAATGGTGGATCTACCAAAGGCGATCCTGAGGTCAGGCCCTCTCCTTTGATGTGGCTTGAGTAAAACCCTCCTTGTACCCTCCCTTCCATTTTGTACCATGAGTTATCCAGAAGTCCAAGTTCCAAATCAGATCCTAATCAAGGGTAATTGTTCCCTTATCTCCACTGGGAAAATGCTTTCAAAATACAAATTTCTAGGCTCTACTCCCAGAGTTCTGATTTAGCAGCCCTGGAATGAGACCGTTAAACACTTATTCCAATGCATGGTTTGGGAACCTCTGCTAAAGGATCTAGTCTCAACTGGGCTGTTCAATGCACATGCGTGGGCACAATGTGTCACCCCAACTGATCCATGTTCTTTCAGAGGCTTTTTCTGAGACCAATTAAGTGAGGCTTCCCTCTTTTTGTTTCCTGGTCCATAATCAGTTGTGTTGGAAGGTGTAGGATGATATGAAGATCACACACTTTGGAGTTAGTGTGGTGGATCTCAACACCACCTACGTTGAGATCCTAGCTCTGCCACTTTTTACCTGTGGAACCTCTCAGGTTGCTAAGCTCTTGGGGCCTCAGTTTCCTCACTGTGCCTGACCCAGCGTCAACTAGGTCAATAGTTTACTATTACATTTTTGGATTTGGGCAAAAAAAACAGCTCCGGACGCTGCTGACGTAGGATCTTCTTCCACAATTTCTGGCTAAAATAGGGTTCCTGCCTTTCCGACTGTAATGAGTATTACTAAGCAAGCCAGTAACTACAGGTTCCAAGGAGATTGGGCCTGAAGGAGTGGAGCCTTAGGCTTCCCCAGTCAGAGGAAAATTACAAGTGCAATTTGCACAGTCTCCAACCTCATTGTGTCAGAAATATCCCAAGAAGAGAGACAATTCCCTCAATTCATTCCAACTGTGCTAACAATGAAGACAAATGTGAGCACCTGCATCCATCACTGCCATGGTTTCCAGGGTGCAGAACCTATCTAATGGAGCAAGTGGGAGGTTTTGCAATACTTTGAGAGACTTAAGATGCTCTCTTAAAGGGACAGTTCCAGTGTATAAGAAATTTAAGCCCTTGAGGGCTAAAATTTTACTTATGACAACAAATATATGTGGAATTCCAACAGAGTGGCTACATTTATTAACTTATTGATTGAACATGTGCAAATATTGGGGCAGCATAGTGCTTTCTTCAGGATCACAGAGGCTACTGACCAATGCCTGGAACAGGGCTGCCCAAAAGAAATATATTGTGAACCACACATGTAATTTAGAATTTTCTAGTAGCCTCGTGTAAAAAGTAAAAATAAATCAATTGATAAAGCAAGTGAAATTAATTTAATAATATTTTATTTTACCCCATAGATCCAAAAATTTTGTATTTTAACTTGTAATCAATAGTTCAAGATGAGATATTTTATGTTCTTTTTTTGTACTAAGTCTTCAAAATCCAGTGTGTGTTTTACTTGGACATCACATCTGAATTTGGACTAGCCTTATTTCAGGTCCTGAATACTGCAAGGACCTTATGGCTACTGTATTGAACATGGGCTGGTCTAGAGAGCACAAACAGCTTCTCAGATAGGATAGGCTGAAAAGATTTGCTCATCTTCAACTCTTATGATAACCCAAGGCCTCTATACTCCTAGTGATCTGCCTTCTCTGAGCCTAGTGTTTTCTTTGGGAATCTCAAGATTTATGGCTAGATATTCCCAGAATGTATGCCAGATTAGTCTGAATTACTGGACTAATTTGCTCACTTATTCACTGATTCATGCATCCATGTGTTCATTAGAGATTTATCAGGCACTCATCAATGTTTACCCCAACCTCAACCTTGACTTTCCTTGACCTCCTGCCCACTCCCTGATTCCTTGAAACTTCAGCCCTGGACTCACTGTCTTCTTCCCTACCTCTAGTCCTCCTGTCACCAGTGTGGATGAGTCATCCTAACCCCTGGAAGCTCATTGCCATGATCTCCTCAATGACCTTCATTTCCATGTACTTCAGACACTCCCTTCCCTGGCTGCACCTTGGATATGTCATCACTGGGCACTGTTTCCCCTCTGAAATCATAAATTCACACACCCACTCTGAGGGCATGGCTTTCTCATGGCTTTCTGCCTCTCCCACTTCTACTTCATCTTTTAACTCCATCAAACCCTTGATTTCTCTATTCTGTCCTTCTCAAGCTTTCTCTCAGTCATCATTTCTTTCTCTATCCAACATGGAATTCCCATGACCCCTCTTTTAAATCACTGTCCCCAATATCATCAACTCTCCTGACCATTGTTCTTGGATTATATCTGCGTAGGTCAGTGAAACTATTCTTCTTGGCTCTTACATCTGGGCTGCTGAGCACCGATGAATAAAATTACCAACTCCATAGACTGAGGCCATTAATGTGCTAGTCTCCAACCTCTCTTCTGCCCTCAACCCTCCCCAGCAATTCTATGCTCTTTAATTAGCTTTCTCTCCCATTCTTACAATGATCATTCTTTTCAAACTTGCTGCCCTATTGCCTCCCTTCTTGCTCTCAGGAGATTATCTCCCCATCAACTTTAGAGAAAAAATAGAGCCACCAAGTGTAAATTCTCTAATCCCTGTTGCTACAACAATGCATTGACCAGCATCTCTAACTACCTTTTCCTCTTCTCCCAACACAGCAGTTGGAACTTCCACCATGCTCCGGACCCCCTCCTGCCTGCCTCCTCTGAGATGATGCTCCTTCTACTACCCCTCTCCTTTCCTTCACTGACCCCTTCTCATCAACATTTAAGACATGCTCAAATCACTCCTGTCAAGAAGCCCTTCTTCAGTGCCAGGTCCCCTCCAGCTAGCCCCTGCGTTCCCACCTCTCACAGCCAATCTTCTTGCAAGAGTTGTCTGCAGCTGCTGTCTACAATTCCTCACTCTTATTCATGCTCATTCCACTATGATATAGCTTCCACCACCATCACGCCACCAAAACTCCCTCCTCACTGTTCCTGATGCTTTCCTTGTTGAGGATAGTAGGGTCCTGCAGAAAGAACACGCCGTAGGCATTATTATTTCTTGAATATTCTGTAATTTTGCATAACTTCCCCCTTCTTGTAAGATTCTCTTCCCTCGGTTTCTGTGACATTCTTGTTTTCCGCTTGTCTTGGTGGATGTCCTATCCTTGTGTCCTTCACTTCTGTTCCTCTCACCACCATCCTTTTCCTGATAATGTTCCTAGGATTTCTCCTTTGGCCTCTTCCCTCCTCTTACTCCACTGTCCCTTCTTGAGAAAGTCTCACCACTCCAATGGCTTCAAATACCATCTATATGCTGAAAACTCACACATCTACATTTTTAACCCAAATCCTTTTTCGGGGCCACAGACCCATAAATCTTTTTGCCTGTGGACCTCTCCCAAAGGACACCCCAGTGGCAACTCAAAGACTCAACCCAGGCAGAGCTGTACTCATCACCTCCCCACCACCATGCTCCAAAAGACTCCTGCCCCAGCTCCTTTGTTCTCTCCCTTAGGAGTGGCACAACCATGTACTGAGCTATCCTGGCCCCCGCTTTTTTCTTCTCCTCTTTCTCTTTTATATCTGATTGATTCCCAAATCCAAGTGGTTTGACCTTCTTTGTATTTATTCAGTGGATCCACTTCCTCCAGCCATTCCTGACTAGTGTTGATTCTCCTCTGCCTGGATCCATTTTCCACACTGCAGCCAGAGCAATCTTTCACTGTGTGAATCATATCAGATCACTGCTGCCTAAAACCTTTTACTGCAAACTCCCACTGTCCTCAAAATGTAAGCCAAGCTCCTTGGATTAACTGTACAGTCAATTCACCTCCCACCCCTAAGTGCTTTCAGACCCACCTCTCAGTACCATGAAGGCTTACCTCACAAACCAGTAGTTCAAAAGCACAACAGTTTAATCAGAGGGTACAGCACATGCTGGTTATGTGGTTTCTGAAATACTAGTCCCACAACAAAATTGAAAAGATACAAATTCAGCTGATTTTCAACAATGGTGAAAAGACAATTAAATGGCAAAAGAATAGTCTTTCAATAAATGGCGATGGAACAATTGAACGTCCACATGTGAAACAAATGAATCTCAACCTATAACTTCACAACTTATACAAAAACTAACTCAAAATGGGTCACAGCAAAAGTTCTGGAAATAAATGGTGGCGATGGTTGCACAACATTGTGCATATACTTAATCTCACTGAATTGTACACTTTAAAATGTTAAATTTAATGGTTAAATGGCAAATTTTATCATGCATATTTCATTGCAATAAAAAAAATTAAATGGATCATAAACCTAAATGCAAAAGCCAAAACTATAAAACTTCTAGAACAAAACAGGAGAAAATCCGCATGACCGTGGGTTAGGCAAATAATTTTTAGATATGACACCAAAAATGTGATCCATAATAGAAAAAAAACTAATATTTGTATAATTTTGACAAAATTTGGCTTTATTAAAATTAGAACTTTTGCTCTGTGAAAGACATTGTTAAGAGAATGAGAAGACAAGCCACAGACTGAGAGAAAATATTTGCAAATCACATTTCTGACAAAAGACTTATTTCCAGAATATATCAAGAATTTGCCAAACTCAGCAATAAGAAAATAAATAACTCAACTTAAAATGAACAAAAGGGCCGGGCGCAGTGGCTCACGCCAGTAATCCCAGCACTTTAGGACGCCGAGGCGGGCAGATCACCTGAGGTCGGGAGTTCGAGATCAGCCTGATCAAGGCTGATTTAGTAGAGAAACCCCCATCTCTACTAAAAATACAAAATTAGCCAGGCGGGGTGGTGCATGCCTGTAATCCCAGCTACTCAGGAGGCTG